TAATGTTACCCCCATCAAACTATTAAAACACTTGCACTGCCCTGTCCCACAGTCCCCTGTCTGATGTCTGGAAAAATAAAAATTAGCCACCATTGCTAAGCACTGGGCTACCCGCTTTAATGCTCCCAATGATGCACAAAGGTAGGTGACTTCGTGTCCATGTGAACCATGAGAAAACAGACTTGGAGAGGTGAAACAGCTTTCCCAAGGATACATGGCTATAGGTGGCAATGGCAAAATTGGAAGTAAGATCTTCCCATAGTGCTCTGTGTGCTCACCCCTCCTCTTCCACTTCTGAGACCCAAAGGGAATAGTTGTTTCTCCCAACCTTTCCCAGGTGTGAAGGATGCTACTAACCCTTTATGAAGGGGGACAGAGCAATGCAGAATGTTAGAGCACATGTGAGAGGACATATGAGGGTTCATCAAGCCCAGGGTGGGGGTACAATAGTATCTACTTCATAGGCTTGATGATGATGATGATGACGATGACAATGACAATAGTAGATGACACTGGAGCTAGAATCCAGGCCGTCTAATGCCATGAGTCCTTGTGCTTAACCACAGTGCTGTCCTGAGGTCACGCATAGTAGACGACACTGGAGCTTGAACCCAGGCCGTCTAATGCCATGAGTCCTTGTGCTTAACCACAGTGCTGTCCTGAGGTCACGCATGGGCAGCACCTAGCACACTGCGCACATCTCAGCACACGGTGGCTGGAATCGTGTATTAAATACTCCCATCATTATCTCATGGAATCACCTCCATTTTGCAGATGAGGAAATTGAGGCCTAGAGATGGAGTTCCAGGTCATGGAGCTAGAAGGGGGCAGAATCAAAGCCTATGTTCTGCCCCCCCACCCCCACCTTCAGTACCTCTACTAGCCTTTCTGATGTCACAGAAGAGGCACGTGGGGGAGCTTGACTCAAAGCAAAGCCAACAAGGCCAGGACAACAGATGCTAAGACCCAGGAGAGGGCCAAGGCTTTGACTCTGTCAGCCAGATCCTGGCATACAGGGGTGGCGGAGACAGTTCTTTCCATGGGAGTGACTGAACCGGAGATGCCCGTCAGCCCCGGGGTGAGAAGCCCTGCAAAGTTTATCTAGAGCTGCTGACTGCTGAATTCAGCACTTCATGAATGACACTCCCTGTTGCCAGGCATCATACTCCCTGGAAACCTAGTCTCTGTCCTGGCCTGAGTGAGTTCATGGTGATGACATCTGGGGTGGGGATGGGAGCTGGAAGACAGCAGCCTCTGGTGCACAGGCTGTCCACAGGGTAGGATAAGCACTGCACAGGTGGGGCCCGTCTACAGGACAAACACAGTGGCCCAAGCCTGCGACCTCCCCTCTCTAGGCTCACACACAGGTGCTCCCTTCCTCACACAGGCCCCAGGACCTGAGCATCAAGGAACCTTGCCTGAAACCTACCAAGGGGTTGATGGGTTTGGGCCCATCCTGGGTCTTCACAGCACACAAGGAGCACCAGGACAGGCAGTCCGCCGCAGCGGAGTGGGGCACAAGGAGGCAAGCGGCCAGCATCAGCCCCTGCCACGCCATTCTGCCCCAGCTCTTCCTGCTGGGGGGAGAGAGAGAGAGAGAAGATAGTAAAATCTGTGATCACCACTTGGGGTGGTATGTCCTGACCTGCAAAGTCATCTCTTAACTTCTGCTGGCAGCACCGCAGGGTAAGCATTCTTGTTCCCATTCTACAGTCAAGAAAACTGAGGCTCAGAGACGTAAAGTGGGTGCCCAAGGCCAAGGATCAAGGAAGGGAATGAACATGGGCCGGGTGTCTGCTATGTGCAGAAGCTTTCCTACAGGCTCACACTCAGTCTGCACAACAGCTCTGCAAGGTGGTCTGTGCTACTCTCGTTTGACAGATGGGGAAGTTGAGGCTCAGAGAGGGGAAGTAATCGCACACAGCTTTGGAAGTGAACAGGCCAGGGCTTGACCTGGGTCTTCCAGACTTCAAAACCTACTTCGACTACCCATCAGGAGAGAAGACCTGGGTGATATGCTTTCCTGAGTCCTCTGAGAAACCCACCACCTGCCTCTGTCCCCTGCTCCCCAGACTGTTCCCAGGCCAGTCCTTCCTGCTTTGTGAGGTCTCTGGAGTTTGCCTTTTCCACCCCAGCACTACCCACCTGACACAGCTCCACCTTCATCCCATCGCCATGGTGGCATCCCTGCCTCCAGTTTCTCCTCTGATCCCTCCCACCCACCCTAAAATGCTCTTCTTTTGACATGTTAATTCCGTGGTCAGACCCCTTGGGCAGGTCAGGCCTGGCCCCTCTGCCTAAATGTTAGGGATACCCTCAGTCCCATCCCTGCACTCCAACACTGCAGCTCTGCGCTCCAGACACGTCCAGCTACGTGCACTTCCCTTAATGAATGTATCAGGCTCTGTCCCACCTCTGAGTCTTTGCATATGCTGTTCCCTCTGCCTGGAAACCCCTTTCTCTCCTCTTCTGCTACTTGTCACTTAGGTCCTAGATTAGACGTCACCTCCTCTAGGCAGCTTTCCCTGACCTCCTAGGCTAGATGAGATGCTCCTCCTTTCTTTCTCCCAGCAACTTGTGCCTCTTCCATCAAAATCACCCACTATTTAGTAATTAGCTGTTTGAGTCTTTGGACTTTGGATCCATGAAGGCAGGAGCTGTGTCTTGTCTTCTCTGTAATGCTCTCTCTGTGTTTTACAAACACAACAAGCTTGCGCCTACCTCAGGGCCTCTGCACTTTCTGTACCTCTGTCTGTGGTTCTCCAAGCTCAGTTTTTCACATCACTCACTCCTTGACATGAACTGAATGAAATGTCACATCAGCAGAGGGGCATTGACTGGCCCCTGTATCCAACGTAGCTTCCTTGGTCTCTTGCACATCACTGTGCTTTGCATCCACCAGAACACTCACCACCTCACACTTTCCTGTTAACTTGATGTTTGTTTGTTTGTTTGTTTGTTTGTTGGGGTAGTGATTATCACCTCCCCAAACAGAGTATTATCTCCTTGAAGGCACAGACCCTGTCAGTTCCTGCCTTATCCTAGCACCTAAAACCATGGCCAGCACATAGTAAGTCCTCAATAAATACTTTGCAGATGTATTAATGCTTCGTAAATATTCTGTTTAATGTCCCTTTCAGTCAACTCTTTATAAGCCAAATATCAAGACTCAAAGCCATTCAAATGGGGGCACATTGCAGTTCCCCTAACTAGAAATGTGGGGCTCCCCTGAGACACCCCACCCTGGCTGGGCTAGGGGCTCCATGCTCACCCAGCCCAGTCTTTGTAACCTGATGCCTCCAATGCCACTCTCAGAGATGGCTGTCCTCCTTCCCTCCACGTCCCCCATTCCTGCAAACTGCCCTGTTTGTGTAAACGTTCAAGACTTTTGAAGATTCCACCCCATGGATCCCAGAGCCCCATGCTGGAGCTCAGACGAGGGTCTCCTGCCTCAAAGCACTGAGTGGGTTTCCCCACCAGAGCATGCCTGATAATGATCCCAGTGGCCATTTATTGAGCTCCTACTGCCCTGAGCCCTTAAATCCATCACCCCATTTATTCTTTACAGTGAGTGGGCACTTCCCATTCAGTGAACTGCACAGGTTCTGCCTTGGGTGGTGGAGCTCGGGTGCAAGGCCCTTTGTCTGACTCCCCACATGTAACGACTACACTTTCTGGAGCAGCTTCAATGCACTCGTGGCTGAGCCCTCTGTGACACCCGGGAGGCTTTGTGTACAGGGCCCTTGACTTGTGTACTGTACTCACTCCACCCACCAGCTGTGACAGGTGGGCATCAGAGAGGCTCAGTAAGTCTCCTGAGGTAACACAGCAATTAAAGATGAGAGCTCAGGCCCATGTGCCCCTCCCGAGGCTGGACAAGGTCTGCTCCCCTGGACAGGGATGCTCGGAGGGCAAAACCCAGGGAAGAGGACTTGTATCCATCCTGTGCCTCTCTCCTGCCCCCAGTTTCTCTCATGCTCTATCAGCTGCTGAGTGGATTAGGGCTCCTGGCGAGTGAGCTGCACCGTTTACATGTAGTTGCAAAGCTGGCAGCTCGTGTTTTCTGATATCAGTGATGGTGGCTTCCTGTTATAAGCAGTGAATTAACCCACTGGGGAGGGGGCCTACACCACCCTCTAACTCCTGGCTGGAGGCTTCCCACACAGCTTGGCAGCTAAGGTAGGAGGCCCAATTTGAGATCTCTTTGTCCCAGGCAAAAAGGTGTCAGCCTCCTCCTTTTCTTCATCCATTAACTTTATATTTAATGATAATTCTAGTTGATCTGANTCCTCTAGGCAGCTTTCCCTGACCTCCTAGGCTAGATGAGATGCTCCTCCTTTCTTTCTCCCAGCAACTTGTGCCTCTTCCATCAAAATCACCCACTATTTAGTAATTAGCTGTTTGAGTCTTTGGACTTTGGATCCATGAAGGCAGGAGCTGTGTCTTGTCTTCTCTGTAATGCTCTCTCTGTGTTTTACAAACACAACAAGCTTGCGCCTACCTCAGGGCCTCTGCACTTTCTGTACCTCTGTCTGTGGTTCTCCAAGCTCAGTTTTTCACATCACTCACTCCTTGACATGAACTGAATGAAATGTCACATCAGCAGAGGGGCATTGACTGGCCCCTGTATCCAACGTAGCTTCCCTGGTCTCTTGCACATCACCGTGCTTTGCATCCACCAGAACACTCACCACCTCATACTTTCCTGTTAATTTGATGTTTGTTTGTTTGTTTGTTTGTTTGTTTGTTTGTTTGTTTGTTGGGGTAGTGATTATCACCTCCCCAAACAGAGTATTATCTCCTTGAAGGCACAGACCCTGTCAGTTCCTGCCTTATCCTAGCACCTAAAACCATGGCCAGCACATAGTAAGTCCTCAATAAATACTTTGCAGATGTATTAATGCTTCGTAAATATTCTGTTTAATGTCCCTTTCAGTCAACTCTTTATAAGCCAAATATCAAGACTCAAAGCCATTCAAATGGGGGCACAGTGCAGTTCCCCTAACTAGAAATGCGGGGCTCCCCTGAGACACCCCACCCTGGCTGGGCTAGGGGCTCCATGCTCACCCAGCCCAGTCTTTGTAACCTGATGCCTCCAATGCCACTCTCAGAGATGGCTGCCCTCCTTCCCTCCACGTCCCCCATTCCTGCAAACTGCCCTGTTTGTGTAAACGTTCAAGGCTTTTGAAGATTCCACCCCATGGATCCCAGAGCCCCATGCTGGAGCTCAGATGAGGGTCTCCTGCCTCAAAGCACGCAGTGGGTTTCCCCACCAGAGCATGCCTGATAATGATCCCAGTGGCCATTTATTGAGCTCCTATAGCAACTTGTGCCTCTTCCATCAAAATCACCCACTATTTAGTAATTAGCTGTGTGAGTCTTTGGACTTTGGATCCATGAAGGCAGGAGCCGTGTCTTGTCTTCTCTGTAATGCTCACTCTGTGTTTTTCAAACACACCAAGCTTGCGCCTACCTCAGGGCCTCTGCACTTTCTGTACCTCTGTCTGTGGTTCTCCAAGCTCAGTTTTTCACATCACTCACTCCTTGACATGAACTGAATGAAATGTCACATCAGCAGAGGGGCATTGACTGGCCCCTGTATCCAACGTAGCTTCCCTGGTCTCTTGCACATCACTGTGCTTTGCATCCACCAGAACACTCACCACCTCACACTTTCCTGTTAACTTGATGTTTGTTTGTTTGTTTGTTTGTTTGTTGGGGTAGTGATTATCACCTCCCCAAACAGAGTATTATCTCCTTGAAGGCACAGACCCTGTCAGTTCCTGCCTTATCCTAGCACCTAAAACCATGGCCAGCACATAGTAAGTCCTCAATAAATACTTTGCAGATGTATTAATGCTTCGTAAATATTCTGTTTAATGTCCCTTTCAGTCAACTCTTTATAAGCCAAATATCAAGACTCAAAGCCATTCAAATGGGGGCACATTGCAGTTCCCCTAACTAGAAATGTGGGGCTCCCCTGAGACACCCCACCCTGGCTGGGCTAGGGGCTCCATGCTCACCCAGCCCAGTCTTTGTAACCTGATGCCTCCAATGCCACTCTCAGAGATGGCTGTCCTCCTTCCCTCCACGTCCCCCATTCCTGCAAACTGCCCTGTTTGTGTAAACGTTCAAGACTTTTGAAGATTCCACCCCATGGATCCCAGAGCCCCATGCTGGAGCTCAGACGAGGGTCTCCTGCCTCAAAGCACTGAGTGGGTTTCCCCACCAGAGCATGCCTGATAATGATCCCAGTGGCCATTTATTGAGCTCCTACTGCCCTGAGCCCTTAAATCCATCACCCCATTTATTCTTTACAGTGAGTGGGCACTTCCCATTCAGTGAACTGCACAGGTTCTGCCTTGGGTGGTGGAGCTCGGGTGCAAGGCCCTTTGTCTGACTCCCCACATGTAACGACTACACTTTCTGGAGCAGCTTCAATGCACTCGTGGCTGAGCCCTCCGTGACACCCGGGAGGCTTTGTGTACAGGGCCCTTGACTTGTGTACTGTACTCACTCCACCCACCAGCTGTGACAGGTGGGCATCAGAGAGGCTCAGTAAGTCTCCTGAGGTAAC